CAGTTTTAGCCGCTAATGGAGCACCGGCCAAACAAATGCAACCAGTATGTGTTGCCTAACGGTGAACAACACCGGATTCATGATCGGGGAAGTCTACCTAGACTCTTTATGTGGTGTGAGGTGCAACTAGAAAGTCACTGAAGCACTCTTCATTGTTTTCACTAGATATCTTGACCAGTTTCTGGTCCCTGATAGTTTCAACATATTGTCACCCACCACTGATGAAAAGTTTGCAGAGGGGCTTTCGATAGACAGCCAAAAACAGCATGATGACTGTTGAACTGTACGAGACCATCTAGAGCGGCACACACTGGAGAGACAACAGCGAAACTTTTCAGCTAGATCTACTTCTCAAGTGAGACAACCTACTCATGGAAAATGTACATTTAGAATCATCGATGAGCAGGAGTCTGTCTGTCTGTTTTCGACATAGAACTTTGCACAAATGTGCACCAGTTCAAGTCGCCACACTCCGTGTAGCACGCGAAGCAAAAGAAGAAAGTACAAGAGAAGCATAATAGAAACAGTGAGCAGAGGTGTGAGACAAAGGAGTAATAAAGGAAAACAAAACAGTTTCATTGGAGATCATAAGTCACAAGGAGTGGATGCATCTGCGCTGGCCACTGAGAACGATTTTGAGCCATGTCACCAATTGTTTCCAACCATAGATTTTTACCGTCCCGAGGACCCCAGCCTGGAAGTCTACACCTTCCAACGTGGCTTAGACCAACTGTTGTGGATTTCATTGACTGGTGAGGCCAAGTTTTTGTTTGACCGCCGCTAGCTCTTTTCCAGCCTGACCCTATATCCGCTAACATTGCTCGTCGAGGGAGGCGATGGCTTGGCATACGTAACACATGTCCTAACCATCTCAGTCTTTGTAGCTTCACGACTTCGTCGATTGATTTCCCCTGTTTACCTAGAACTCGATGCCTAACTTCAATGTTGCTCACCTTATTATGCCACTTTACACGGGAAATAGAGCGCAGGCACCTATGATCAAAGACAGTTAGTCTTTTCATGTCTTTCACTCTCAGTGGCCAGGTCTCACAACCATAACGGAGGACGGAGCGGACTGATGAGCAGTACACCCACCCTTTGGTCGATAGTTGAACATCTCGTCTACGCCAGAGTCGACGTAAACTGGCGAATGCGAAGCGAGCCCCCTGTATTCGTGCTGAGATTTCGTCAGAGATCAGCCCGTTGGCGTTGGCTGATGGTACTTCCCAAGTAAGTGAAGTGGTCAACGTGCTCTACCACTTCACTTCCTATTTTTAAACTAGGCGTCGATGTAGTCCAGTCCTGTAACATCATCTTGCATTTCACGGCGGGAGCGAATCGCATGCCAAACATTCGTAGATTGCTGTTCAAGGTGTTTAGAAGACTCTGCATTTCGTCAGCGTCTTCGCCTAGAAGGACTATATCGTCTGCATATTCCAAGTCAACGAGATCATTCCCCGGTAGCAAGTCAATCCCTGAGTCGCTGAAGTCACCTAGGGTTAAGTCCATTAACACATCTATGATGAAGTTGAAAAGAAAAGGAGATAATGGGCATCCTTGAAGGACACCACTGGTCGTCATCAGTTCAGATGACAGCTCGCCGTAAGCCCTCACCTGGCTGTATGAGTACGAGTAGAGTGCCTTAATCAGTGCAATATATTTTCTCGGGATTCCCTTTACAGCCAAGCATCTCCAGAGAACTTCCCGATCGACAGAGTCGAATGCTGCCTTTAGGTCAAGAAATATAATGACTGTTGGACGCCGGTAGGAATGACTATGTTCTAGAATCTGTCGGAGGGTGAAGATATGATCAATACACCCTCTTCCTGGTCTAAAGCCTGTCTGGCTCTCTCGTGTTTGTGCTTCCCGAGCACCACTTAGTCTACGCATGATTATGAGCCTAAGACTTTAGATACTATATTAGTCAAGCTAATCCCTCTGTGATTATCACAGGAAGACTTGTCTCCCTTCTTTTATATGGGGATAATCAGTGACTTACACCAACCCGATGGGACTTCTTCTGATTCCCAGACGCTGCCTAGTACCTCAGTTAATCCGAACAGTAAGCTGAGCAGGAGTAATCATGCCCCTGTACTTTTTGACTTGCTCAAAGATAATTAGGGAATGATTATAGGATATCTTCAACAAAGGAAGCTGCTGTCACTCAGGGGGATTTGGTGATTCAGAAATTCAGGAGATTGGGACCAGTAACCAAGTAGGATATGCATTCTTTATGACATGTACATCCTTCTCACCCTATCGATATGTTGTGATAAGTGCTCTGCCATGATTTTGGCGAGGTTTCTTAGCTTCACTCACCCGCTACCGTGCTTTAGAGATACACAGTGAAACTCTTTATATAAGTTAAATACTCCCAGTCCAAGACTCTAGCTGATTATGTCAGAAATTTTGGTGGCTTTTATGCAATTTTTTCTGAAGGATAACTCTTCTACTCACGGCTACTACGATGAAGCCAGTTTATGGCAGGTGAGAGAAGCACTGTATACATCTTGTTGGCCATAAGACTAACATAGCCCAGCTGTGGGAGTGGGCGAAAGGGGTCATCAAGGAAACCACCCACGGTCCTATTCTGTTGACACTAATAACCATGAAATGGAATCTGCCGGATAAAATCAGGCACTTGGCGTTATCTCGAGAATAAATGGAGTGCATGGAAAGAATGAATTCTCTCAGGGAGGCAATTATGCCATGCAGCGTTCCTCGACAAAATGATTTGGTCAGCCTTGTCTTACCGCTATCTTCAATTCATACACTTTATTTATTCTTCCACTGTGAGTTGCTTGACATGTGGTGTCATCACAGAGTTAGTTGGATGAGGTTAGTTAAGGTATCGGCTGCTCCTCAGTGCTGTAATATTTCGCCATGGGACTGCAGGTGGGATATTTTAGCGACGAATTTTATGTGTGAGATCGGCTATAGTATCAGGTGCCACAGACTGGCTGTTCCACTAGCATCAATACCACCTTTGATGGAGAGCCCATCAGGTGACTACATTCGAAAATATTTCAACATTGGCAACCCCGTGCGCGAATCATAGTAGGGATTGAGGAAGAATGAATCTTATGGTGCCAGTTTACTGGCAGCTTAGACAATTAGAGGGCTGGTTAGAACCATAATTTTCCAGTTCAGGTCTGCGTCTCTCTACGACTATGCCACCAAAAGTTGTATCTGGTAGAGCTGCGAAGAAGGCATCCAAGGCTAAGTTGCCTAAGGTTGACAAGAAGAAGTAGAGGAGGAGGAAGGAGAGCTATGCCATCTACATCTACAAAGTCCTCCGTCAAGTCCACCCTGACACTGGTATTTCATTCAAAGCCATGTCAATAATGAACTCATTCGTCAACGACATTTTCGAGTGTATTGCCGCTAAGGCAAGCAGGTTGTCGCACTAAAACAAGAAGTCAACCATCTCAAGCCGGGAAGTTCAGACAGCTGTCCGTTTCTTGTTGCCTGGTGAGCTTGCTAAGCACGCCGTGTCAGAAGGAACCAAGGCTGTCAGGAAGTACAGTGGCTCGAAGTAAAACACTCCGCCAGAAGTAGAGAACGCTACCACAGCCCTCTTAAGGGCTACCGTGCGTCGGTGACACAGTGGTTAGGACTCTCGCCGACCATGCACATGGTCCGAGTTCGAGCCCACGCCGACGCACACCTGATATCTATGGTTGGCCTGCGAATTTTGGGCTACCGATATCCACGCTGAAAATTCCACGCTTGTACCATACGGTGTGGAATCAAGCTGTAATCAAAAAAATAAAATAAAAATAATTGCTTACAAACTTTATGGAGGTCCATGACGCAGCTTCCCAGGAAGTCCTACCCTGAAAACTCTCAAAAATGTGGGTTTACAACCAGCTGCTATATCGGATCGGAGCCCATGAAGAGAGTGAGGAAAAGTGAGCTCCGCTTTTACAACAGCAACCACCGGAACATCAAATAGATTTATTCTACATTCATGATTATTACTGATCCACCTAGATGATATTCCGAATAACTTCGGATCCCCAGGCTGAAGGCATGAAGCCATGGAGGATAGTCAGAAGTGAGGAGGAATTCATCAGGTTGCAAGGAGATTTGGTCAGCCCAGAGAATAGGAGTGAAGAAAATGGGTTAGATTTTATTATGAACAAGCCTCTGGCAATGCATATCAGTAAAAGAATGAACCGATATCTCCCACACAGAAATAGAATGAGCCCTTTAGCAGCGTTTGATGGATGAGCTGGTAACCTGCTCTTGCCACACAAAAGGTCAAGGCAGAGCAACAAAAACCACAATTCGTGAGTAAGTAGCTGAGTTCATTTACATCTCACCTTTTCACGCAGTTTCGGGAAGCATTCGTACGACGGATCAAATCGCATATTTCCTTCAAAATGAACTTATGTAGCTTTAATTATATTTCAGTAGTTGACATACGGTGATCAGTTTTTTATTTTTTAATATCTCGAGCGAGATTACTACCCGTGATCTCCCTACCCCCCGAAACACTACCCAGATAGAAAATTCATTGTTGCCTGAAAACTACTGAAATGTATTCATGATCAGTTTAGTGTATTAAACAGTGCGCAAACTTACTTCCCTCATCTTTTGGCGTTCAGCAAAACTGCAGAAGTCGAGGAGGTAGACTGTGCTGGAAACTTTTTTTGATTACAGCTTGATTCCACACTGTATTTTGGTACAAGTATGGAATTTTCAGCATGGATATCGGTAGCCCAAATTTTGCAGGCCGACCATAGATATCAGGTGTGCGTTGACAGGGGATCGAACCTCGGACTATGTGCATGGTCGGCGAGAGTCCTAACCACAGTGCCACCAACGTCAAATATGTAGAACCGTCCTGAAACAATGAGAAGCCAGCAGTGAGAAAGGATAGGTTTTATAAAAGCTTATCAAGTAGATATTGAAAATTGGGTAATAGGTACTTAAGTTCAAGGTCGTTTGGATATTTAGGTCGCGAAGTCAGTTGACTAGCAGAGACTCACCCGACTATGCGTTTATTTGTGCTGTTAGCCTGCCTTGTGTTAACCTGCTCGGGTTATGGGAATATGGTTGGTGCCCCTAGAGAAATACCACCAGAGGAAGACACTTTTAAAACTTTAGGCCAGGAATTGCAGAGAGTAACACATAAGTTTAATCGCGAACAGGGACTTCAAAACCTCCATGTTGTAACCAAGGTACTTAATGCCACTAGCCAGGTAAATATACATTATTTAAAATTGCTTATTTAAGGTTGTTGCGGGCACCAAATACACATTATTTGTTGAATTTTCCCCGACATCGTGCAATACTGCCACTTCCAATGACTTTTGTAAGGAAATTCATCCCGTTATTTTATATTCTTGATTTAGTAGCTGTTGATACTGCGCTTTTCAGTGCAGATTCATGTACAGTTCTTGGTGGAGAAGTAATTCAGTTTCTAATATTAAATTTCTTTCAGAGCAAAGTGTGCAAGGTAACTATATGGCAAAGACCGTGGCTCGGCCCAGATCAGTCTGAGATAATCAATATTGTGGATTGTTCCACAAAACTTACGTAAAGCGCCCAGAAGTATTTCGTTAAACCAGCATTTCATCTGCTTGTCAATGTCTTTTGATGCAGCTGTCATCTTTCCTCCCTACAGTCGGTTTCAGTTTGGTCAAGACCACTAACAATGCGCCTAATTCTGCCTCGACATGTTGGCAGCCTAAATTCTTACCACAGACACTAAATGCGTTTCTTAATTTCATTAGAATTATGTCACAAATCAACATCATATGTTTTTATATTCTAGTCAATTTATATCATTTTGATTTATTTATTTTGGGCTTCTCATAATCATTCATCTTCCATTCTTTTTATAAAAAACTAACTTGACATAATTTTATATACAGCTGTTTTAATTTAATTCTAGTTTTAGAAGTGCTTTAAACGATTATATGATTTGGTTTCAATGAGCTTTTATTTTAAATTTGTCTATTGCTCACACATTTGTTACTCTGCTAAGCTAAGCAGACTGGATAAGTATAGTGGATTATCACAAGTATGTGGCTTTCTGCGCATGCTCATTGCACATGCTAAAAATTTTGTGATCAGGCGTTACTTGTAAGCAATCCTCATCTGTTATGGCGTAATTGCTTTTGATTTAGGAGTCGTGGTAGGAGAGCACCACCCTAGATTTGTTCTTCATGGCCTAGGTGTGTTATAATTTCCAACCTGTCCGTGACCTCGAAGACTTTCCAGCAGTTTTTCCAAGCAATAAAGATATTTTTTATTTGCAAGCAAGAGGAAGGACCAAAAATATGAAACCTACTAAAAGCTTATTGGGTCTTATGCTTGAAGATAGCTTTTGCTGAAAATTCGGGAGTAGCATAACCTCTGAGTCTTTGGGAAACATGTTGCACGACCTTATATTTACCTTGATTCTTCGTTGTATGGGTTGGTGGTAATCTGGGATCTATAAAGGCTAAAAGGTTAACAAATTTTTACCATATATTAGATGAAGTGTGGAGAAAGATCTCTAATTTACTCCGCAGTAATAATATTATCAGTTGTAATAAGTCCAGGTAAACAACTCTCGATTTTATTTTCATGAATATTTCCTACTTTTGTTGTTAAAACATGAGGGAGTCCTGGGTGGAACTCGACTTTTAGATGTGAGGTTTCTAAATGATGATATTTATGGTAAATATCTAAACATAATTCTCAGGAATTAGACACGACGGCACACCGAATTAGATACTCAATTGTTTTTCACCGGTAGGTTGTGAGTCTGGTTGCGTCTCCACTTACTGAGATTCGAACAACCAGATAGTATTTTCAGCTCTCATATCGTGAATTCGGTTCACTGGGACATCCATTAACCTTCAATGGTTATTGAGAAGCATTCTGCACCTTGAGTTATAGCCGCCATGTCCTTTAAGTTTTGGTTTGTAGTTTGTTTACAAGCATGGCACTAGAAACAACGTGGACATGACATCAGAAGCACATCTTCAGAAGTTAAAGAAAAGTGTACATGGGCTAGGTAAATAAAATCAATGTTATACCCACTAGTTGAGTTGATCACATAGATGTGTAAAGTGAACCACACACTAATTACTTGCTCTTCGCCTACTGAAGAAGCGTTATTTAATAGTTGATTTCTGTTAAAGAAGCCTCACTTGTACGGATATAGGTTGACTACCAGAGATTGAGTGGTAATACAGAACCTGTATTGGTCTAGTTAGTCGACTAAGTGTAAAGTTGTCAGGTTGTATATACATCGAGCGTTCATTGTGCTAGGACTCATATGGAATACCATGTGAATATCCATACTTATTCGTCATATCTGATTTTTACAGGAGTCACTGATGGCTTTGTTGGTTTACTGCATTGGGATGTTTGTCAGCTACGATTCAGTTTATTACGTAACAATTTTAATATGAATAAATTTTACTGTTTTCTAACGAACAATTAGACTGTTTTATTTGATTGTTCCCTTCGATTATTTAATGGTTTAAATTCTTTTGTAAAATTTTTAGCATGTGTAAAGAATCTGAAAGATTTCGACTTGATCACGTGAACTTTATGTGTGTGTGTGTGTAAATTACTTTTCCAATCACTCATTATATTAAGTTAAACACTTACCATACAAATTTTTTGTAAAAAATCTATATATTCATGTGTGTATACTCATGATTCTTTAAGTTTGTTTCTTTTGGTTAATGACAGACGCTACAGTAAATCTGTATTGATTCAGTATTGTGCCATTTAATAGACGAGTTGCGAAGATTAAATTAAGATCCTAAATTTTGTTGAATATGGAGTGTACAGTAAATAAGACAGACCGTTTTCATATGTTGAAGTTAGTATATTTAAACTTCTCAATGACTTGGACACGATCTTTCATTTATCAGACTACGAGCCAAACAATTACTGTGTGTGTTTGTGTGTCGGGGGCGAAGTGGCGTGATTATACTACTCAGTTACCTAGGATGAAGTATTAGGCTGGGCGGTGTTCGAAGCTCAATCCCTTTGGCTTAAATCCGAATAATTAAGCTTATAAACCACATCTCCATTTTCAAATATGTTGCCTACAATATGGGTGAATGCGTTTTAGCTCAATTTCTTACGAGTGTATTACAAATAATATCACCTCTATCGTATAAGTTCTTTTTCGGATGGATGATATGGGAAAGTTGACAGTTACTCCTCACAAAGGTACTCAGGATATTACGAATTCATTCGCATTTAGTACACATTTACAGAGTAGATTTGTTATCATCTAACTAAGGCCGTCGATTTTTGCCAGTTCAAACCTGCTTATATTGTTAATTTACCCAATTTGCCGTAAAAGTCAGTGGAACTAAATTTATTCATGAAACTCTGGACACAGGTTAAGTAAACACGGTCTGTTTCGCTGATTTTTGTGCTGGTGTATTTTCCAAATAAACCTTGTTTAGTGAAGTCATTTCAAAAATCATTCTAGCTATAGTTTGACAGTACACAGTATTTCATAATGGTTAACAATATCATGTCTGATTATAGGATTTCATCATGAGCTGACATTGGTTAGAGAACCATTGGAAAACCTGCCAGAGAGTAATGGACAGTTGTTTCGTTAGTCTAGTTTGGGACTGTTCATCATTACGCACCCAGTGGGGTTCGAACCAAGGGCCTTCTGGTTACAGTGCGAGCTAGCTCGTGGACCATTAAGCCACTGGGACCCGATCCAATGTTCCATGAATTCTAACTTCTGCCAATTCACGACATAGCACAACCGCTAGCCACTGTCATCGATGGCGAGTATTTGTCCTCACACCCGACCACCTGATGCACCTTACTGGTCACGACTTCTCACTGGAACCCCAGGTAACTACCTACCTGTATATGGCCAGTCGCCAGTGAGCATCTCATCAATATTCAAGTATTGGTCTGTAGGGCCATTGGATCGGGTCCCAGTGGCTTAATGGTCTACGAGCTCGGTAGCCCTGTAATCGGAAGGTCCTGGGTTCGAACCGTGGCGGTGGATGCGTCTGGTAAAGTGTCCCAAACTAGACTGGCTGTCCAGTACTCCCAGGTGGTTTTCCAATGCTTCTCCAACTAATGTCAGCTCATGATGAAATCTTGTAACCAATCAATCAAATCCTTACAAACCAATACTTGAATATCGTGTCTATTGCCCTATTACTGACCCATTCTCATCGATCAAATTTGTAATGTAGATACCAGGTGAAGGGCTTAATCATTGTGTTGTTACGCTTTGAATCAATGTTCAGTCTTGGGTGGCAGTCACACAGGAGGCCCTAGACATAGGTTTTCTGCTTATCGCTCCTTCGTTAGTGAGAATTATATAGGAAACTGAGAGAACTCATGGTTTTTGAGGTATTTAAGCTGGTACCCTCCTGTTCTGTAGCCAGAGACTTCAGAGAGCCATTCAAGCCTCCATCCAATTAATAATGTATTCTGAACATTAACATTGTATTCTCGTTTTCAACTGCGGAGTAGTTTCAGAGCTTTAAATAAGTAAAAAGTACTGAATTTTTCCTAATGGGAATAACTGTAACAGTCTTTTTGGTGTCGGAAAGTCATTGATGGCAAACGCTTACTGGTTGACAATAAACGAATGAAATTGGTTTATTGTAAAACCTTTTTGAAGTTAACTAACCAACTCGAATAGCTCCGGGTTAGTGTCTCAGGGCAATACTGGCTGTTGCGCTTTAAAATCTCAGTTCCCGTCGAGGATCCAGAAATGTGCATTGGTGGTTCAATGGTAAAGTGTTCGTCAGACACACGAGAGGTTGGAGTTCAGCTCCCGACTCGCGCACTCTTAAACCTCGCCTAGTAGTAGGAGTAAGGGAGAGAGGGCAAGTTGAGCGAAAGACTAACAATTCCACCCCGTGAAAACAAATACCACTGCCACTACAGGCTTGAAGCCACTGGAAACTCAAGGAATAAAGAAAATCACAAAATTTAACGTTGGTAGGATATCAACAATGAATAAAAGTCTCCCTATGAAAGTGGTGGCACAGCAGTAGAATGCTCACCAACCATGCAGGAAGTTTGGGGTTCGATCCCCGGCCAACGGACGTACTCCTTTACTTCTATAATCCAGTAAGAAGACTGGTAAAGAGGGAAGATTGAGGGGCGTGGGACTAGCAACTCCATTCTGTAAAAATAAATACCACTGCTACTGAAACTTCATAACTCCAGCTTGAAGCCCCATGTTCCACTGGGAAAGTGAAGGGACAAAAAGAAACAAGAAAGTTATTTGGCGAAAATCAACCGGATTGGGAAAAACAGTTATTGTGCGCTTTTTATGTAGTGTTACTTACACTAAGTGCCTAAAAGAGAACTGTTTATATTCGTGCATTGTTTGACTATGCAAAGATTAATTAACCATTTATTGACGTTACCCGTAGTTGTTTTCTCTTCTGCTACAATTGGTGACATGGCTCAAAATCGTTCTCAGTGGCTGGCGCAGATGCATCCACTCCTTGTGACTTATGATCTCCAATGAAACTGTTTTGTTCTTCGTTATTACTCCTCCTTTGTCTCACACCTCTGCTCACTGTCTCTATT